GATAGCGCTTGTTGGGAGGCAGCCACATTTTATTTTTGTTTCTTGATTTTTGGTTCTGTTTAGTAATAAATAATTCATCTAGTGTTTGTGCCAAGTAGAACCTTTCGGAAGACTTGGGGGAAGTTTTACCGACCTTGCTGTAGAAAACAGAAACTTTAGCACTCACGAGATTTGCTGCCATTATTTACTAGAGAGTGAGATTAGGTTGATTCTTTTTGCAGATGATTAATAGACAAATTCCTCACGTCCAACAATTTATTTCAGAATTTTTGGGGTTACAGAAGTATTCGAAACCTACAGATTACTACAGATTATTCTGTTTTTGACAGATTCTGTTTTTCGTGTGTTGTTTGCTTATTTTGATGCATCTATGGCTAGTATCGGAGGGTATGAACCATAGAGAAGTTGAAATACAGTAGGTTTAACACCAATATAAATAAATAATGAGTTCATTACAGTACCTTAAGTGGTGGTTTGTTTTCTTATACTAACGGAGCTCATGAGATTTTCTGTTGAGTTTTGTGTTGTGAAGTTTTCAAGTTTTGGGTAAAGGTTTGATGGATTTTGGAATAAGGAGTGGCAAGAGCCTAAACTTGGGGATGCCCAAGGCACCCCAAGGTAAAATTCAAGGACAACCAAAAGCCTAAGCTTGGGGATGCCCCGGAAGGCATCCCCTCTTTTGTCTTCCTCCATCGGTAACTTTATTTGAGGCTATATTTTTATTCATCACATGATATGTGTTTTGCTTGGAGCATCTTGTATGATTTGAGTCTTACACACCTTTTAGGAATGACACACATGAATTGGAATTTATTAGAATACTCTATGTGCTTCACTTATATCTTTTGAGCTAGATAATTTTGCTCTAGTGCTTCACTTATACCTTTTAGAACACGGTGGTGGTTTTATTTTATAGAAATTATTGATCTCTCATGCTTCACTTATATTATTTTGAGAATCTTTTAGAACTGCATGGTAATTTTCTTTGGTTATAAAATTAGTCCTAATATGATAGGGATCCAAGATGGGTATAATAAAAAAAACTTTCATAAAAAGTGCATTGAATACTATGAGAAGTTTGATACTTGATGATTGTTTTGAGATATGAAGATGGTGATATTAGAGTCATGCCCGTTGGGTAGTTGTGAATTTGAGAAATACTTGTTCTAAAGTTTGTGATTTCCGTAGCATGCACGTATGGTGAACTGTTATGTGATGAAGTCGGAGCATGATTTATTTATTGATTGTCTTCCTTATAAGTGGCGGTCAAGGACGAGCGATGGTCCTTTCCTACCAATCTATCCCCCTAGGAGCATGCACGTAGTACTTTGTTTCGATAACTAATAGATTTTTGCAATAAGAATATGAGTTCTTTATGACTAATGTTGAGTCCATGGATTATACACACTCTCACCCTTCCACCATTGCTAGCCTCTCTAGTACCGTGCAACTTTCGCCGGTACCATAAACCCACCATATACCTTCCTCAAAACAGCTACCATACCTACCTATTATGGCATTTCCATAGCCATTCCAAGATATATTGCCATGCAACTTACCACCGTTCCGTTTGTTATGACATGTTACAACATTGTCATATTGTTTTACATGATCATGTAGTTGACATCGTATTTGTGGCAAAGCCACCGTTCATAATTCTTTCATACATGTTACTCATGAGTCATTGCACATTTCGGTACACCGCCGGAGACATTCATATAGTCATATTTTGTTCTAAGTATCGAGTTGTAATTCTTGAGTTGTAAGTAAATAAAAGTGTGATGATTATTATTATTAGAGCATTGTCCCAAGTTAGGAAAGGATGATGGAGTCTATGATTCCCCCACAAGTCGGGATGAGACTCCGGACGAAAAATAATAATAAAAATAAAAGAAAAGAAAAGGAGGCCATAAAAAGGAGAAAAAACCCAAATAAAAAAATGAGAGAAAAAGAGAGAAGGGATAATGTTACTATCCTTTTACCACACTTGTGCTTCAAAGTAGCATCATGATCTTCATGATAGAGAATATCATATGTTGTCACTTTCATATACTAGTGGGAATTTTACATTATAGAACTTGGCTTGTATATTCCAATGATGGGCTTCCTCAAAATGCCTTAGGTCTTCGTGAGCAAGCGAGTTGGATGCACACCCACTTAGTTTTTTTTGTTGAACTTTCATACACTTATAGCTCTAGTGCATCCGTTGCATGGCAATCCCTACTCACTCACATTGATATCTATTGATGGGCATCTTCATAGCTCGTTGATACGCCTAGTTGATGTGAGACTATCTTTTCCTTTTTGTCTTATCCACAACCACCACTCTATTTCACATATAGTGCTATGTCCATGGCTCACACTCATATATTGCATGAAGATTGAAAAAGTTTGAGAACATCAAAAGTATAAAACAATTGCTTGGCTTGTCATCGAGATTGTGCATGATTTAAATATTTTGTGTGTTGAAGATAGAGCATAGCCAGACTATATGATTTTGTAGGGATAACTTTCTTTGGCCATGTTATTTTGAAAAACATAATTGATTTGTTAGTATGCTTGAAGTATAATTATTTTTATGTCAATATTAAACTTTTATTTTGAATCTTTCGGATCTGAACATTCATGCCACAATAAAAAAAATTACATTGAGAATTATGCTAGGTAGCATTTCACATCAAAAATTCTGGGGGCAAATATACCTTTCACTTTGCCATCCTTCTTATACGCAAAATACATGGGGCAGTTCCACTTCTAGTGACCAGTTTCTTTGCAGTAGAAGCACTCAGTCTCAGGTTTAGGTCCAGACTTGAGCTTCTTCACTTGAGCAGCAACTTGCTAGCTGATTGCTCTCTGACTATAGCGCCAGAAAAGCTCCTGTCTGCTAGGACTACGTCGGTATTTCCCCAAAGAGGAATGGATGATGCAGCACAATGACGGTAGGTATTTCCCTCAGTGAAGAAACCAAGGTTATCGAACTAGTAGGAGAACCAAGCAACACAACGTAAACGGCACCTGCACACAAATAACAACACCTCGCAACCCGACATGTTAAAGAGGTTGTCAATCCCTTTCGGGTAACGATGCCAAAAAATTGTAGTAGATTAAAATACTAGATTACAAATAAAATAAAGTACAGCAAAGTATTTTTGTATTTTGGTTTAATAGAACTGAATAAAAATGCAAAGGAAAAGTAGATCGCAAGCAAATATATGAGAAAGAAGACCTGAGAGTTAGATCGGTCTCACAATAAGTGACATATCGCTTTCTCTCTCTAAAAAAGAGCACAACGAGATATATATATATCTGGCTTGTATACCGATTCCTAATACGAATCCCCTATGGGCGGACGACTACTATGCCTTCCCTCGTTCGCGTCCGGTCGCTGTGTTAGATCGGTTCCGTCCGTTTTTTCTTTCTTTCTGTTGTTAGTTCTTTGGTTCCTTTGTTTTTTCATTGGTTTTCGTTGGTTTTTCTTTTTTTCTTCATTATCTTTTTAGTTTTCTTTGTTTTTAATGGTTTTCTTTGGTTTTCCTTATTCATTTTCTTCATTATACTATGGTTTTTTTGTTTTTTGGTTTATTCACTTTTCTTTTTGTTTTTTTGTCAATTTTTTTGTTTTCTAAACACATGTCTACTTTTTCATACACGTTGAACACTTTCGCATACATGTAAGCATGTTTTATGCACGTTTAACATTTTTCAAATACAGTTTTAATATTTTTATTAAAGCATGTGTTGAATATATTTCAAATACGTGTAATTTAAAAAATACATTTTGAAACATTTTTCCGATGATAAAAGGCATTTTTGAAATATGAAAACAATTTGTGTACATTACACAAGCATTTTTTGAAAATGTCAAGAATACCTTTTTGAAACTTGTGAAGTAAATTATCTTTGAACGCACGAAACATTTATTTTGAATTACGTGGGCATTTTTTTACATTGTACAAACATCTTTTTAAATGTCACATACGTATTTTTTTTTAAATGTGTGACATTTTGTAATTGTCACAAACAATTTTCATACACATGATTAACATTTATAATATTTTCATTCCTGTTATACTTTTTTTGTGTACGTAAAAAATATTTTTATACATATTTAACATCTTCCAAATGCAAGATTAACAGTTTTTTAAAATTTTATGTGTTTATATTCAGAAATATAAACAAAAGTAAAAAAATAAAACAAAAATGTCCTGGAAAACGAAAAAATGAAATAAAAATATGAATGATGTCAGTATGACGCTACAACTGGTTATTGGACCGGCCCAGTACGGAGTCCCTGCAGGCGAGCTGTGCCTAGACATCGCGGCGAGCGATACATAGATACGCCCCAGCCCGTCTAGCATTCTCTGTTCAGCACCGAAGCTCATGCGGGATTGCAACCACATCCAATGGCCACAGAGGCAGTGAACGGTTTAAAACAACAATGGCCTGATAGGGGTGGAAAAGTGCATAATTAAAATGTCTCTAAATATAATAGATGAGAGAGAGAGGGAATAGGAACGAGTGTCGGGAGGGGGGACAAGGATGCACATCGGTGGGGTGTGCCCCACGCATGATGTGACCAGCAACATGGACAACAGATGACGCCTTGGTCGAACGAGGGCACACGAGCGACCGGCGCTAGGAGCGACCGGTGGCCCGGCTGGAAACATTTTCCTTAGTAAATACTCCCTCCGTTCCGTTTTAAAATAGATAATTCAACTTTGTGCTAACTTTAGTATAAAGTTAGTATAAAGTTGGGTCATCTATTTTGGAACGGAAGGAGTAGTATATGTATGATTTGTAACTACATGTCAAGGTTTTTACCCTGCAAAAAATAAAAACCCTACATGCCAAGTTTTAAACAGATGTGCTTATTTTCAAACCAAAAGTACATAACAACAGGGTGCTTTATATATAAAATGGGGCGAAAGTCTTTTTCGATAACAACAAGGTGCACATCCATAAGTCCATTGAATGAGGGAGTATCCATGCATGTTGAGAATCTAGAGTGGGATAGGTTCGATGAACTGCTGCTGGATCTTGTCTTTGTTGCCACTTGTGAATGTGTACAGGTTAATATTGCCACGGTACATCAAGGTCATGCTCTTGGTCAGTCTGATGATTCGTTCTAAAGGCAGGAGCATAGCACGACGGTCAAATCGTGCCTGATTGGTAGTTTTCCATGCATCTTCAACCAGTTTACCCACCGCGGCCATTGCTACCTCACCCGTGACATGATGTTGGTTGATATAGCTATCTACTGAGCTGGCCGCATCCAGTTTGTTCTTCCCGTGCTGTCAAGTGTGAACACACGAATATTTACAAAATTAGACAATTCACTTTACTCTACAATTATTTAAGGATAATCACCAAGTAAATGAACAATTGAATGTGCACACGCACACACATATATGTACCTGAAATGCAGTCATGTCATTCATGAAACGTGCCACCTCACTGCAAGCCTTCACGGCATCGGTGCAACCAATGGCCCACTGGAATGTTTCCTCAGTTACTTCGTCGCCCATACCAATGAGTGAAGTCACGAATGTAGCTGGAGCACCTGTGGAGATAACAGAGTTCTTGATGTGATCTTGAAAGCTTGGTATGTAATTGCTATGGAACCATTCAGATTCTTGTTGGTAATGCCTGCATAGAGTTTGGATCTGTGTGCATATATACAGGAGGAGAACTTTAGATTACGAACAATAATTATATGATCTTTGATAGTACTAATTGATAACGAAATCGGTAGATAAATATATACCGCTTTCCTAGAATAAACCATGCGGTACTTGTGATCTTGTTTCAGTTCGTCCTCCAACTCTCTGAAGATATTCATCAGCTTGACATAGTATTTTTTTAAGTACACTGGTAAAATAGGGATAGCACTCTCGTCCCATCTGCATGTACTTAAGTCATCACTAACTACTATTCCCTCTTCGCAAATATAAGTCTTTCTAGAGAGTCCAACAAATGACTACATACGGAGCAAAATGAGTGGATCTACACTCTAAAATATGTCTATATACATTTATATGTTGTTGTCCATTTAAAATGTCTAAAAAAACATAGAAACGGAGGGAGTAGTTATAAAATACTACCATCTACGAGAGGAGGGCAGATTCAAGGACCAAAGGAGATTACTACTAACCTTTGTATCGCTTCGTTGATCTTTCGACCCTCTTCCAAGGTAGCTTGCATATCAAAAGTGTCATCTAGCAGAGATATTAGCACACATATCTTGGCAAGGATTATCCGTGCATGTGCATATTGTTTCTCATAGTGTATTGTGTAACACCAGAGGTATATTTCAACGGTACGATGCCGAGAGTAGCTTAGTCCCACTTCTTCATATAGATCATTTCCCCACCTTAAGTATACATCAGTTAATAGGATATTGTATTAACTCTTTTACTTATTATATATTCATCATGATATATAAGCTCAATTTGTAATCATGGCTGATTAATCTAAATATAATTAAATTGTAACTAAATGCATATATTTTCATCCATGATAGAACTGTATATGTTCAGTGCATACGTACCGACAAAAATCCTTGAGCTCTTGCTGGTGAAGACGTTGCAGAAGATTAAATTCGAGCTTTGCAAGTTCTAGCACATAGGGGTTGCATGCTTTCTCTTGTTTGTATTCCTCAATGTAATAAGGCGCATCCACTCTACTCAGAGTCCTTGGTAATGGTATCTCAAGGCTTCGTTTGACTTGCTCAGATAAAGGGTATTTAAGACTGCCACTCATAGATTCAAGATGGTGCCTTGCAAAGGCCATGGCTTCATCGAGTTCAGATTCACCATTGACAGAAAGGTAAGCTGCATTGTATAAACTTAACAGTCCCCTCGGTTCATTAGTTATATCCTTGTTGAAGCTACCATCTTCTCCCTTGAACTTATTGAATACATCTGCAATAGAAAGTGATGTAATATAAGTTGAACCAGCTTCATGGAAGCATTTAACTAGGATTGTACTTTACTAAACAGCTCCAACCAGTAAATTCTATGTGCCAATTTTTTCCAACTACCATTTTGAATGAAACCAGTTGGAATTATATGTACCAAGCCCATAAAACAATTATTATAATTCTTAAATAAATCGTAAAGACAACTAGCCCATTCAGATCAATATATAAGACTTGGTTTTCAACACACCACTAGGAGGTTGAGAAGAGGACACATACACACACGTTCCTCCTCCTATGCATATCGTGTTTCACGAACGAGTTGAGCGTGGGCTGGACTTATGTTGATAGTGCAAGTGCAAGTCAAAGATTTGTGCCACCCCTAGTTCTTCCTCGCCTGCTTCCTGATGTGCAACATCGTTTCCACTCATAGCAATGATGCGGCTGGGCTTGCAGCATCGCCTCTGGCGTCTCCCTGTGCATGTCATCTAGCATGCTCGGTGAGGTAGAAGTTGATGGGGAGAGAGATCGATGGGGACGATAGTGTAGAAAAGATATTGGATGCGAGACAATTGTATTCACATCATGGGGTGCCCATATATAGCACCTACAGGGGTAGTTCCGTCCATAGCAATGATCCTAATTACATGTTATATACTTGGGAAACAAGCGGGACAACTACACCTAATACAAGTATGTATATGTATGGGACATGCACAGCTGTCTCTCAACACCCTCCCCTCCCCCCCCACGGCGCAGTCGAAGCGTCGTTGCTAGAGATGCAAAGACTAGACCGAACTCGTCAAAAGTGGATGTCGGTAAGCCCTTCGTCATGATATCCGCAAACTGTTGCGTTGTAGGAGCATGAAATATTCGAACGTTCCCAAGAGCCACCTACTCACGAACAAAGTGAATATCAAGCTCGATGTGCTTTGTGCGACGATGGTGAACCAAATTTGCGGAGAGATATACCGTAGAGATATTGTCGCAATACACCACAGTGGCCTTGTTGACAAGGCAACATAGCTCGAGGAGTTGGTGAAGTCACGTGCACCCAGCGACGGCATTGTCCACGACGCGATACTCGACCTCAGCACTCGAACGAAAGACAGTGGGCTATCGCTTAGATGACCACGAGATGAGCGTGGGTCCAAGGAAGAAACAATATTCAAACATGGAGCGGTGAGCCCAATCAGCATCATAGTACGCAACAATGTCGGTGGAGGGTGAGGCTGATAAGGTGAGGCCAAGATCCATATGACCGTAGATTTAGCACAAGATCTGCTTCACCGAGGACCAGCGAGCATCACGAGGAGAATGCATGTGGAGACACACCCGATGAACAACATACTGCAACTCTGGGCGAGTGAGTGTCAAGTACTGAAGGGCGCCAATAGATGGATAAAAGGAGGCGTCCGGAGCCAGAGGACCGTCAGTGGAGGAGATCTTGGCCTTCGATAGGCGTGGCCATGGGCTTGCAATTAAGCATATCAGCATGGTCAAGAAGCTCATGTTCATACTTTCGCTGATGAAGGAAGAAACCATCCTACTATCGATGCCGAATCACCTCATGGTCATATACTCGCATGGTGCGCATGACAAAGAGGTTGTCGGTGCCGTCGAGGTGGTCGCAAAGATTGTACTCGCTGAAGAGAAGGCTGAAGTAGGTCTTCCATGCATAGATGTTGCTGGCGGTGTGGGAGAGCTTGATGGGAACATGGTCGGCGATGGGCACATTGCGAATGCGTGCCGCCATGGGGGGATCGGGTCCGGTGAAGAGGTTGCTTGGACCGTCGGAAAGGGAGGAAACCGAAGAGTCCATGTAGTTGAGTAGTTCATGGAGTAGCTGCTAAGAATGGCAAGCCAGTGCCTGGATGGTTATCTGTCATCTTTGGGGTCTCCGTCTCTAGGCATGGCTTAATGCACCAAATAACTTAGTGCACCACCCAGTTTAGTGCTAAAGTCGCGAGAGAGCGGTGATTTTGCACCTAGGATCGTTACATCCGAGGTGAACAGTAAATTAAAAAGGTGTTAAAAAGCTGAAATTTCTATATATTCAAGATGGTCATGTGCGCAAGGTGCATGCAAATTTTCATGGTGTCTTAACATATGAGGAGCTCGTGCCAAGAAAAAAAATCCAGGTGTTCTAGAAACTTTGAAAAAGAACACTATTCAGAGTCGTCTTTTTATGAATTTCTCGGATGTCCAAACACCACAAAATTTGCACGCACCTTGCGCACATGAGCATCTTAGATGCCAAAAAATTTCAGTTTTTTCAAAATTTGTGTACTGTTTATTCTTTAATTCTCTGCTCACCGGTTGTAGATGAGCCTGGGCACCATTTTGAATTATAGTAAAGTCGCTCCCAACTCTGCATGTGCCATTTTTTTTATGGAAATCCTTCTGTTTTACTACTACTCCTTCACTAACGGGTGACGCGGCGACACCGATGCGACAATGCCTCATGACAGCAAGGGCAAGCCTCATGACATCATCTCCATCTAACAAACAAAAAAAAACTTGAAGGCCATCCACATAGGGCAAGTCTCATGACAACATCTCCATCTACCACCAAAAAACATACAAAAAGACGTAGCCTTCAAGAAGAAATTATTGCTCGCATGTCGATGTTGGGTAGTCCAACCATGTCATACCAGGGGCTATCACCATCAAAATAAAGCTTCAAACCAACACCTTCTACAAGGTAACGACGCATGCAAGTTGACACTGTCTGGTCAATCGAGGCTAGATCATGAGTTTTCACCTAGAGCAAATACATCTGTGATGTCTGCTGCCATAGTCTTCGTCCACCACTCTATGGCCTGTTCACATTGCTTCCGAACACTGCCACACCACATTCCACTGATCATTGTGGTGCGCATCACAACAACATCTAGCAGCCGCCGTCGCTTGATGTGCCGCTTGGATGACGAAGTGAGCAGGTGCCCGCTCCGACATGCTATCTAGCCGGAACTGGCCACGTCAGCTTTTGCTGCCACGGCAAACTAGTGAAGGAGAGGAATGCCACACACAACCTCTCCATAAGATCGAGCCAATGCTCGATGCATCATGCTAGATCCGACAAGCCTCAAACCACCATGCTTTGCACCAGCCCACACCTGCCATTGTCACTGTTCCGCTCCGACATGCCATGTTGGCGTCGCGTCCACTACGGTGGTCACGAGTGGTGGTGTTGCCAAGGACAAGGCCACATGCCTCCTCTAGCCTGGCGAATTCTGGGAGCAGCAGTCACAAATCGCCGCGCGACTCCTTGGCTTGTGCCTCCCCCTCTACATGAGGATGGACGCGATCCGATGGGGACGCGGACACCGGCGTCCGGCTCCACTTGAGGGCATGCGACGATCCGATCTGGGCACCTTCGGGCACCGCTAGTGCCTTTGCCGGCCACACACGACTAGAAACAACATGCATAAGTGCCTGTGTAGCTAGTGGAGTGATTATTGGATCAAGCCACTGAAGCTAGTGGAGTGATTATTGGATCCACAAGAGAAGATTCTCTTGGATCGAATGTCCCAAGTAAAGATCCGAGGTATGGATGTTATCGAACACCATATGTTTCCTAGACTTCTAGACTACCCAAAGGGCAGAGCACATCATCGTGCTGAGGAGAGGACGACTCCAGGAGGGGTGACAGGCAGAGAAGGCGCACCAAACTTTTCCATTGTGCAAACGACAGACAAGGGGCGACAGCCGAGGATACGCACCCACATAAGACGTAAATGGGGGCACTCCAAGAAGAGGTGCACGATTGTCCCTGAATGCCCCAGGAAGAAAAGGTAGTCGTCATAGTCAAGGCAACCGACTGGATGAAGGAAGGCATGTGTACGAGTGTTACCATGTCGTATACTCCAGGCGAACATTGACCTTGAGGGGGAGTTCGCAGCTGGACCTTTTGATCATATGGTACACTGCCCCTGCCTTGAACTGAAGACACCCTCCCTAGGCTAGGGTCCTCTCGTCTTACCACAGGGAACCGCATGAGGTCAAGTGTAGAACAAAGTAAGTGGAGCTCCAACTCAGGAGTCCTAGATAGATGGTCATGCACAGGAATTGCATCAGCACCAAGCCGAACGAAGTATCCCAGGGTCGCGTCGGGGGCGGAGACCATGTGTGAGTGTGTGAATGCTAGTTAGTGGGGAAGTGGTTGTCTGCTAGTTATACTCCACTAACTAGCATGTGTTGTATTGTGTTCTGGTGAGATGAGGAGTACATAAAAGGCAGAAGTGTGTGCTACAAAAATTGAGCCCAGTAGGCAGGTAGCCATGGGAGGAGGACACTGGAAGGACATGACGTTGGCGGCTAGCTAGGGTACCCCCTTCCAAGATCTGTTGTAGGCACAAGCTACTAGTCATGTGCTCTCTTCCTGGTCTCTGAGGACAATACAAACGCATCGGCCAACTTCCTCTTAGCCTCCTTCATGCGAGCTGCTGGTCGGGTAGCGCAGGAGGCCTGGTGGAGCTGCGAAAGAGAAGCCTAGAAGGTGACAAGGCCACTAGCTGCGATGGAGCAAGCATCGGACGCGGCGTGCGCCCCGTGCCGACACATGGAGCGGCATCCAAGCACATCGGCCCGAAGAGGACTACCAATTTTTTTATGCTGATGGGGGCGGTCAAAGGAGTAAATAAATTTTTTGCCACTATTCATATGCATAATGCAAGCAAAACTAAAATATTGGGTGCGCGAGGGCCCTGTTGGTCTCCCCCTTCCACGCAGATGTTACTTTCGAGCTGTACTTTTTTTCTACAGACGTTAGCAAATACAAAAATGGAAATATGATAGATACCTGGAGATATCCAAAGTCCATGCTCTCTAAGCAAGCAAAATCGAAGAGCAACCTCATAGAGGCTAGAAC